ACTAAGACACCTGATAGTCCAAATCTGTACACAGGCACCTATTAGACCCAGTCTGTACACAGGCACTTTTCAGCCCCACTCTGTTCACAAATCTGTTCACAGCTATCCGCCTCATGTATATCAAAAAGTGATTTCTTTAATGAGAAATAGAAAAAGAATTCAACTCTCCTGAAAAATATTTGTTATGAGCTTTCAAGGTTAATTTATTGCCATTATTATTTTTTTGAACAAACATTGCTATAATCCATTTTTAGCTGATATATGCTTCTTCAGCTGTTAAATTAATAGTGGCAGTGTGTTTCAGATTTTCCGAAGATCTTGTTACTAAAAATGCTAATGCAGTTCTCAAAGTCCATTTTTTATCTATCCTCTACTATGTGTGTAAGACTTGGACACTCCTGGTTGAGGAAGGAAAAAGGATCCGGGCATTTGAGAACAAATTCTTGAAAAAGCTCCTCCACATCTCCTACTGGGTGCACAAAACCAATGACTATGCATGAAGCAAAGTCAAAAGTTTCATTGGCTGAAAAAAAATCTTTCTTCACTACTATTAAACATCAGATATCATGGTGAAGCCACATAACATGGCTGTATAACATGGCCACAGAACATGGCCATAGAACATGGCCGCATAACATGGCTGCATAACATGGCATAACAGCCTCTGCAAGACCATCATGTTGAAGGTAGATGCAAACAGGGATGGTAACACAAAAGTTGGTCAGACAGCATCAAAGAGTGGATAGATATGACAATGTCGGAACTCCTGAGAGTCACTGGCAACAGATCATCCTAGAGGAGGTTGTCTGTTTCTTCTACCCTTAGGTCACCCATTTGACAATTGAAGCTGTCAAGGAACTGATGATGATGAATATAGTGAAAGATTGATTTATTATTTTTATTATTAGTGAGAAAACAACATCCCAACAAAGAGATGCTGGAGTAAAAATATATGAAGTCAAATATATTTGTCATGACAACCGGTCTGATAATGATGTACCAGATATACATGAATCACAGTCAAATGTGTGCAATATTGTGTCATATTTTAATAAAAGCAGTGCCCAACTTTACAGGTTAGAAATTGTTTCAAAGCAGGTTACAAAGATGATCTCTGGTTGAGGGTTCTTCTAAATATTGTGACCCTGGATCCATACCTGCAATCCTGAAATTTGGGATCCCCAAGTTTTCATTATTGTGATTGTTTTCGGTGATTTTTTTAATGTAATTTTTTGCGATAAATTTTTTTGTATGATAATAATTTTTATAACATTTTTTTTTTCTTTTGAAAGTAATTTACCCCAAGCAAAGTAGGAGAACCACTAGCATGCAAGGGGTCACAGAGGATTGGAAGGAAGAATAAAGAGGCATGTTTGGGGGGAAAGGAAACAGAGAAAGAAAGAGAACAAGATCAAGGTATCAGATATCAATCGACATTACACTTGAATATTTGAAGATTATAATTATTGGGGAAGCAAGTAAGGGGAAGGGAGTTCCACAGATGGGAAGTGCAAGAGAAGAAGATGTTTGAGCAGAAGAGGTGGTTACATTTAACTGTTTTGACAGTGAAAGATGCCAGCTTAGTAGCTCGCTTAAATTCATGCAGTCTGTGAACCAGCGAAAGTAGCTTGTCGGGACAGTTGCCATGAAAATACTTGTAGAAGAGACAGAGGGAAGCCATGGCATGTCTGTGAGAAAGCAGCTGTAGACTAGATGCTAGATCAGGACCTATCACACTGCATATTTGTCTCTGGATTTTGTTGAGGACCTCGAGACATACAGCAGGGTCACCAGACCATATATGACAGCAATATTCCATGCAAGGACAGATAGCTGATTTGAAGGATGGACTCAGATGCGAAAAAATTTCTAGCACAACAGAAAGAACCCACTTTCCTTGCAGTAGATGAAGCTATTGATTCAATGTATTTATTCCACCTCATATCAGTGAACAGTGTGAGACCAAGCAGGTGTAACAAGATACCCTCAAGGAGTTGGAATCAGCCATTCTGATGGTATGCAGGGATGGTTCTCTGTGGTGGGTAAAGGAGAGCAGTTTTGTTTTGGATGCATTAAAGTTTACAAGCCATTTCCTACCCCAGTTAACCACAGATTGGAGGTCCTTTTTGAGATCATCAGCCAGGTTAAGTTTGTCAACGATACCAGATTTACTATTGAGACAGGAGTAAACCAGGAACAGTGTAGGGTGCAAGATAGAGCCTTGGGGAACACCAGCGTTCGGGATAAAGGAGCTGGAGGAGAACCTGTTTAGGACACCCTTCATTTCATGGTTTGACAGGAATGATTGTATTAAATCAAATAATCATCCTGTAATACCATATCCCTGAAGTTTATGAAAAAGGCCGGCATGCCAAACCTTATCAAATGCTTTAGAGATGTCTAGAGCCACAGCTTGAGCTTCTCCGTTATTGTTAAGTGCTTAATATACAAATTCACTTATGGTTGTGAGCACGTCAACAGTAGATTGGTCAAAGCAGAAACCATATTACTTGTGAAGTAAGGTGCTTAACAACTTTGGTGCTGATTAAAGCCTCAAAGAATTTACTGAAGAGTCTGGCATTGAATTGGATGAGAATTTGGAAATAAATTTGTGAATAATTGAAATTAATTGTGAAACACAGTGAAAATCACCCATGAAATAAAAATAATTGTACAGAAAGTAAGGACCTACATACATCAAATTGTCTTTAAATTAAGTGGCAGCAGAAGAATTATCATTGAACTTTTTAAAGGTAAGCTTAAATATTAATGTAATATTTAAATGCAGTGGTCAATTTTGAGTTCTTCTTTAGTTTATTGTTGCCTATCGCATCTACTCCTCCCTACCTATTGTGATGGAGGCTCAATCAAGAGCACTCCTCAGGAGATAGCTTAAATGCCACCTGATAGGGTGGCTTTTAAGCTAGTTGTATTAATATGCATCAATACATCTTCCATTATAAAATTTATGAGGAAAAAATACAATCCTCTTCACCTTACTACTACCTAAGAGAAAAGATGTTATTAACCAATGAGGTGTTTAGATGTGACTTTTTTGATAGGCCTTGATTCAGAGCCTGATTATGGCTTCAAGGATTGAGAGGAAAACTCATTGTTTGGTTTATTTTGTGCTAATCAGAAGAATAGAATTTGAAACCCATGATAATTTGAAATGATAGTTTTTTGATCCTGCTAATCAAAATATAAAGAAGGTTGTCAACTGGTTAAAATCACTATTCATTCATGCCTTGTCAGAGTGGATAGTCAGGAAAGATGATATTAAGCATATCAATTAAGCTTTTAAGCATGAATAGGACTTGAGACTCCCAAGATACCATGTGGCTGACTAAAGACTCCAGGCAACATATGGAAAATTAATACAAGTAATTTTGGACATGTGACACTCTTCCCACTGTCCAAGTTTTTGTAACTGATACAAAAAGAACTTGCTTACTGATACTATAATCTTACAAAACTTACTAGTTTCAACAGATTTACTATGACAATTATTTCTCATTCAACAACAGACAATTCTGTTAATATGTTGATCTAGCAACCCCAGACAAGTGAAAACATTTATAACATCCCATGAATTTTCACTGTTTCCCTCTACCCAGCACAATTTTAACTTTATCAACTAATGCAAGTTCCCACTTTCTCATGAACATTTTTCTCTACCTAGCTTAATTTTTATTAGGTGTTCGAAAGAATACTGAGTAAGATTTTATGCTCTTCTTTTTTCACATAAATTATTGTAAATAAGAAAATTCTTTCAGTTTTAATTTCACGAATTTCATGAATTGTCATTTTTGTTGTAAAGTCCCAAATGTGTCTGTTTTCAGGGACTAAAAACTCAAACATTTTTTAATTTAATTAAATTCAACTGAGATTGGTTAAAAGTTCTCTTTTTATACTCCATGATCAGATTTCTTTTTAACTATACCCACTGATGCTTAATTTTAATTGTAGCAACTTTTCCTAGAATCTGCCAAATATAGAAAGATAATCAATATATTTGGCAGATTCTAGGAAAAGTTGCTTTTTGACATGTCTCTGAAATCTTTACATACTAATTATTTTAATTATTAAAATCTGGATATTACTTCAGATCATATTGATGTGGGTGTGTGTGCACGTAACAGAGTGATCAGTGATGTAGAAAGTCGGATTACCATGTCAAGTTCAAATTCCAGCCAAGGCTATTGATTTCATTTTCACAAAATTATCTTTGGAAAGGTATGAATTCATCACTTCTCTCCCCCAACTAAAGGTTATTAACCTCTAGCTGGGGGAGAGAAGCGATAAATTCATAGCAGGGCAGACTGGGCTCTCTTGCCTTGAGTGGCAACCAGCCCAGAAGAAGAAGAGTCTGAATTCAAAACAAACCTGAAGAGGAATGGGACCCTAGACACATCACTATTGCTATGAGTGTAATACATCTGGTAATTTTACAAGCCTAATAGGTTAAGGGATTCATCACATCGCTTATTGGTGTGAAAAATTCAAAGTATTCTTTTGCTATTCCTTTATGCTTTAAGTTTGCTAACACTAAAAGTAATATCTAAAAAATGTTTTTGCTTGCTTAGTAATTGTTCATTTTTGAGTTTGAGAAAGAGTTTTTGTTTTCTCTCCTACGTTGCAAATGTTAGAAAGGCTGAATATATATATATATATATATATATTACTGACAGCAACAATCCTCTGTATTGTAGATTTTAAAATTTAGTGTGTTTTTTTTCTTCATTTCTTTTAAAATTGTATTAAACAGTTATATCAGAAAATAAGTATTTTTCTATAAGGAGGATAATGTTTCCTTATTTATTATAATGGGGGAATTAGATAGATACTACCACAAGCAAATAAGTTGATTTGATAGTCCAATTAAAAAAGGAATGTGTAGGAAGAGTAATTAATAAGGAATTTGAACAAATTAAAAATGCAGAAATGGTAAAAGGTGTTAGTAAGTGCGGGCGCCGTTAGAGGGCAGTGCAGTCGCTGCTATGGCGGCCGCAGCAACTCATGTCGACGAATTGGTGAAGGAATATTTATTACAAAGAGGACTTACAGCTTCTTTCCGGGCTTTTGAGCTCGAATTAAAAAATGAAAAAGAGAAAGGACTTCGGGTAGGTATAGTATGCAACGATAAAACATCCAAGGACTTTTTGTTTCTTAATGTTTTGATTCTAAAATCCTTGTTGAATGATCGTAAGTGTAGCCGTCGGCCTAAGTAGCAATTTGTTTTAAAAAAAAACAGTTTTTTTCCTTAAAAATGACGGAAAAAACAAATACTTCCCTTTTATATTTTTAGGGTAATTTTATTTTTGCTACACATGGAAATCCAGATGCATTTTTTTGAAAGAAGTAAACATGTGGCATTATATATAAAACCCCATCGCTTCGTTATTATTATTATTTAATTTTACGGAACAAGAAAAATCTTGGTGCCTATTTCATCAAAATAAATTCTAGTATTTACGACGAGTTTAAATCTTGGTAGAAATTTAATCCCTTAACTACATGAATTTACATAATTTAAGATTTAATTAAAAACTCCTAAGGAAGTATCAAATTTAAAATGATATGTATGTAGTATTGACTATAAAAACAATTTGGCCTGAAAATTTGAATTCATATTTGAAATGAAAGTAAAATACGCAAGAAGCAGAAAGGAAATTAAAGCTTATTTAATGAATTAAATTGATTTTTAGAGAATTAAAAAATAATATTTTATAACTGAGTTTTATTTATTTATAAGAATTAATTCAGCTTGATTTGTTTCTTACTTACTGTCTGATTATTTCTGTAAAGCTCCAAAAAAGCCAAACACATTGATTGAATTGAGCGATTTGATTTTCTTTTTACTTTTAGGGCGTGTTTTTTTTTGTTTTTTTTTTTTTGTTCCAGGTACAATTCGTTTGTGATAATTGCTGATCATATGGCATTTTTTTTTTTTTTTTTTTTAAAAAAAAAAAAAAAAAAAGATACGTCGTTGACAACATCTTTTTCTTACTTGGATTTATTTTTAGATTTTAAGTGAAGATGACAGTGCACCCTAAATTTAAAATAATGTTTGATTATTTTTTCGTTCACCACTTGGATAAATGATCTGGAACAACTTTTTAAAAAATATTGTCCAGTAAAAACAAACAATGAATGAAAAAGAGACAAACAAACTGATTTAAAATTTTAAAAAACTTAATATATCCTTTTTAAATTTTAACTAAAAAATCATTAACAAAATATTTTGAAAAGCCAAGTAAATCTTTATTTTAATTGCACGTAGTTTAAATCAGGTGCCTGGTTTGATTAAGATAAAAAAAAAAGTTCATCTTCAAGAGCAATAGTATTTTTTTGGTGGTCCTCTCTCCTACATTTTGTGAAAAACAAACCTGATATTTTTTAATTTAATTCTGAATCTGAATCCAATATCTAATTCTGTGATAATTTGTGTGGACGAGAATAATCCTTTAAAAAGACAATAAATTGACTGTTTTCACTGCATTCATCTTGCAATATTCATTTATTTTTCCTTCATAGAGCAGTCACATGCTTCTTATTTTTAGCCTATACCTTTTACATCGATCTGTTTAAAAAAAGTTAGTGGGCTAGAGTACATAAGTGTCGAATTGATGCAAATTCTCAAGTTTTTATTATTGTGTATGACTGTGTATGTAGGCACAAACATTTTTGTTTTACTTTTGTCTTTTTTAAAATAAATGTTTATTTGCACTGTCTCTCTCTCTCTAGAACTACCACCTGTTTGAGATTTTGTCAGTAACTGTGTACTCGTTGTCATCTTTTCTTCTGCCCACCATCACGAGAATTCATGCCATCAAGGAATATTTTTCCTTGTCGTAAAATATAGTACTGTTATTTACTAGCCTCCGAGTCTTTTTTTTTTTTATTTCTGTAATGAATGCAATCCTTACTGGGTGCCTCAACAAAATTGTGGCCTTGTAATACTAAGCTTTAAAGGTGCATTGACGTGGAGTAGTGGTTAAAAAAAAAGAAGGTTGTCTAATTACTAGAGAGAGAGTGACTGGGTTTGACCCACTCTGGACAGGGGCGGATTTGAGAGGCCAATACGGCTCATGCAAAACACCAGAAAACCGGCCCGTTCATTTTTTTTAATGAAAGATGGCACAAAAAACAAAACCATTTTTATAAGTGGGAATCCCACGCATACGTGGGCGAGAGAGAGAAAAATTCCTCGTCTCCCTGCCTCGACAACAAAAAGAATATGGTTCTAGCGAGCACGGCTAATTCCTATCAATGGAGTTTCGAGGTGCTGTGATGTATAAACCCACGAGAAAATAGTATTGAATTGATTGACTTAAAGAAAGTTAGCTATCAGTTTTATGAGACGACTGATGAGGCATCACTGTGCCACACATTCACCGGACACCGGGATTTGTCCTGACTCTGGATGTCCATCTTTTTGTTTCTTCATGTCAGACTAAAAATTAATCATGATGAAATTTCCTTTTGTTTAATTGATTTTTTTGCCATAAATTTTGAAAAATGAAATTATTTAATGATAAATCACGCTGGTTGCAATAGAAGAGAGAAAAAAAGTTCTTTTTGATAACTTTAATTCACAATGAAAGATTTTAAAGAATTTGCTAAAAAATATCTGAACCAAATACTGAAAACCTAACTTAGTTGACTAAAAATACCTCAACTAAGTTAGGTTTGTTATCAGTGTTTGTTTTTCATTAACTATTTTTTAAAATGTCTTTCCCCACCAGAATTAAGGAGACCAGTCATGAACTATACAAGGAAGGGTCAGTTCATAGGCTGGGCGGACAGCTGTTGTATTATTCTGGTACAGTACACTTACATGTTTAGTCAGGTACCTACACAAAAACGTGATACTTAAATTTTAAAAAATAAATTCTTTTTTTAAGCTTTTATTTTAGTTTCAATTTCAAGCTAAAATAGAAATTTAATATTTCCAATAAGCAAAATACTTTTTCTGTATTTCAAAACTAATTGAAATTTACTAGAAAGATGTTTTTTTTTTTTGTCTATATTTCCGAAATGAGGTATTATAAATATTTTTATACTATTTACTATTACAATATTGTTTGGACTGTTGTCCTCATCTTTATTGTCACATTCACAACGTTTCAATCAACCAACACTTTTATCCATATGGCCCAGTGGTTAATTGATCCAAAAAGTGACTGAGTTGTGAGTTCAATCTCTGGCCTCAGCAGAGAGAACAAACACTTTGAGTTATCACGGCGAATTAATAAAAATTAAGATATCCATAGGTATGGTATGTGGAATTAGAACAATCTACCCCGTGGACTAAATAAAGGGTCTGGTTTGAAATATCAACAAATATCAACTGAAAAAGGCTGGAATGTATAATGGGTGAAACATCGTGAATTTGACAGTAAAGATGAGGACAGCAGTTCAAGAAATGTAGAGTGTAAAAACATGTTTTTGTTTTAAAATTGCTAAAATCACTGATTTTAGCGCCATTTTTAGCCATCTGGCATTTCAATGTAATTCTCTTTATGAAAAATCATTCAAAAATAAAATTTACTTTTTTGAAACTGAGGAATATTAGTTGCTTTGAAGTTTAATTAATCTGACTTGAAACTTTAAGTTTAAAATATCACAGAAATGCATTTTTTAACATGAAAAATATGAAAAACAGAAGTTTATCTGATTTTTTTCTATAGTGGACATATCTGTAAAAATTACTTGGGGAATATAATGTGAACATGCCGTTTTTATATAATTTTTACCGACCTAGTAATTCTTAAGAAAATATTGTAATATACTAATGTTTTATTGAATTTTAGGTATTTTAGCATTAAATCTACTATAGTTATAATGCTCTCTTATTTTCTAATAAGGTTGTGTATGGATGACTGTATTTACAAAAATTGGCACGTTTATACACAGACAAAAAATTCTTAAAATATTGGGTTCAATGAATTGTAGTAAACTTTTCCATTTATGATTAGTAAATGTAGTTTTTATTTAATAACAATATCACCTAACTGCTCAAATTAATACAGAAATTTAATAGATTTGAAACTTTATAAAATATTCTAATTAAAAAGGGAAAATAATTCATATAAAAATTCATTATTCAACAACAAAAAAATTTTCTTAACACAATAGTGTCTAATATATCTTACTCATAAAAGCAATTACAAGCTTTTCTAATTAAATAATGTCTAAGTTTTATTGCATTTTTTTTTATTTTATGATTCAGAGCAGATATTCAATAACTGGCAGCCTTGTTTTACAAAAAGATTTAAATTCTCCAAGGAGTTCTGCATATAAATAATATAAACATTAAGCTGTACAAAATTTAATTTCTCAAAATTTAAATATAATTAAATTAGTGGAGGGCAACAGATATAAAAAGTAAAGTTTTTACCAAGATTTTCTTTTAAAAAAAAAAAATAATAATTTAGTGAATAAGTCCGGAAAGTTTAATTAAAATCTGACAATTATTTTGATTTTTGCAAAATTTTGAAATCGGTTAGTTTTTTTGGTTTTAACCAAAATTTCTAATGTTCTTTAAAAAGGATCAAAAAATATAATTTAATAATAAAAAAAATCCTTTGGTCTTTCCTCTTAATAATAAAAAAGATTTTGGTGATAAAACATTGTTTTATTAAATTTGGGGAATTTTTTTTTTTCATTGTGGTATGCTCATTTTTTAACGAATCTGTGGAGGTATATTTTGGCCAGCCTATGAACTGTTTAGCCGCCCCTCGTATTCTGGAGATATGAGCCAAAGTTATTACTGTAAACAAAAGGGAGGTAACTCCTGTATTTTATTTTTTTTTACCCCCTTTCAATTGGTTCATCTGTATTAGTTCTTCATTATTTTACATAATCAGGGATTTGAAACAGCAACATAAATGTATTTTTTTTTGCTGACTTATTTATTGCCCAAATTTTACTGCATCTTTTTTTCAACACTGTTTTGGAAATCCCTAATTTTGGTAAAGTGTAAATTTCATGGGATGTTTTGGTGACATAACAATTATTGGTGCAGAGAGTGGAATTTGCAAGCCGAGTTCAAATTCTAGCTGAGATTGTTGTGTTCATTTCATACTAATGCTCTTTAAAAAGGTATGAATCCACTTTT